CATTGGTAGAGTGTTTAAACCAACTCTTATCATTGCTGCACAGGTGTCAGTGGCTGGCATTGGTCCAGCTGTGATGGCCCTAATCCTCAAAGTGTAGCCAAGAAAGAACTCAAAAGTTGTTATGAAATACCTAAAGTGCTCATTGTGTTTGTCCATTAGGAAGTCTTTAATACCCTTGCCATTTCAAGTTTCAACAAGTAGGTGAAAAGTAGAAACCACTTTGCTTTCCATTGAGAATAAATAGAGATTAAGGCATCAAAAACAGTGGGTACAATGAGCCATTTCTTTCAAGAAGCCTTCCTGTAGGGAAAGGACAGTGAGAGGGTGGTGTTTGATGGTCCAGTACAATATAGGTAAGATCCCTTTGTTAAAACTCACATATCAGTTGAAGGAAGGCAGTTTATCATTGGAACTTTCAAAACCTATTTATATTGGGTGCTGAAAACTTTCTTAAAATGATATTTTGGAGACTTTACCAAATTTTTAATGGCTATCATAATGCATAAATAATATAATGATTATGTATCTATCTGCATTTTTGTTTTATAGCTATTCAAATTATATAGATAATTCTGTTGAACCGCATAAAGGGTTGGGTCAGTTATTTTATCCTTGTTTCACTGTTATGGAACCTGATCCTCAGAGTTTTAAGTAATTTGCCCAAAGTATAATCCAAATTACAACTGCAGAGCCAGGATTGCATCTTAAAGCTACCTCCAAATGTTTCCTTCCTGGTCCAGTGGTTTTAAAGTTAGTTAAATATCTTTTTTTCCCATAGGTATAATTTTTCAAGGTCTCAAGTTAGTAGTAAGTTAGCTTAAGTATTTCTCAACCTGCATGAGAAATGCCTTTTATTTTCTTTGCTTCATAGATAATTGCACAGGAGGTTTTCTTTCTTTTTCCTTAGGTAGATGTATATGTACGTCACTAAGGGTCTTGAGGCTTGCACTCAAGAGGTGTGAATTAAGCTTTACTTCCTTGAGGAAGGAGTTTCTACATAAATTATTTGGAATTCTTCTGTGTGGGAGATTTATCTCTTTTCTCCTATTTATTTATTCAGTCATTTATCTGTGTGAACTCGTGGATATTTTATGCCTGTAGTTTGACTTGTAATCCAATACAATGTAATTTATTTATTTTGTTGCTCAAATTGTTTTGGCTGTTGGGTACCCTTTCAGAGTGGCTCCTGTCTGTCTTTGACATGCGCCTAGTTCTTTTCTCTTCCCTCTTCCCTTCTTCTTCCCCTTCCTTCTTTGCTTTTCTTTTTTAATTTTTTTTTTTTTTTTGAGACAGAGTCTCACTTTGTTGCCCAGGCTAGAGTGAGTGCCGTGGCGTCAGCCTAGCTCACAGCAACCTCAAACTCCTGGGCTCAATCGATCCTTCTGCCTCAGCCTCCCGAGTAGCTGGGACTACAGGCATGCGCTACCATGCCCGGCTAATTTTTTCTATATGTATTATTTGGCCAATTAATTTCTTTCTATTTTATAGTAGAGACGGGGTCTCGCTCTTGCTCAGGCTGGTTTCGAACTCCTGACCTTGAGCAATCCACCTGCCTCGGCCTCCCAGAGTGCTAGGATTACAGGCGTGAGCCACCACACCCGGCCTGCTTTTCTTTTTTGATGGAGTTTTGCTCTGTTGCCCAGGCTGGAGTGCAGTGGCATGATATATAGCTCACTCACTACAGCCTCAAACTCCTGGGTTCAAGGGATCCTCCTGTTTCAGCCTCCCGAATAGCTGGGACTATAGGTGCATGCCACTGTGCTCAGCTAATTTTTTTTCATTTTTTTCTAGAGATAGGGTCTTGCTGTGTTGCCCAGGCTCAATACAGGTGTAAGCCATGGTGCCTGGCTTGACATGTCCCCATTTTTTGTTTTTTGGGCACTTTTTTATCTTTTGATCCTACAATATGCCCCAGACTCATTTTGTATATTCCTCACCCCAATCCTAGAATCATCCATTCTCATAAGAGCCCTGGTTTCTTTTATTGGAGAATAATATTCAAAACCAAGATCTGGGGACTTAGTGTGCTTGTTGCTACTGGAGTGTCATTGCTTTTAAGCCCTTTTAGCACAGATAGAAAATATATTTATGTATTATAAGCCATGTATATACACATAACCATAATTATTTCTTTTTCTACCCATATGTATCTATTTTAAGCTAAGCATGAGTTCATACTAGTGTCTGGACTCTAATCCAGCATCACATGGTTCATTCTAGTTTTCCCCCTTTGCTCATCTATAACCTCCCTCTCCAAAAATAAGAAACCTAGCTCCCAAATCTGCCATCCGTTTATTTGTTTGATCTTAGTACACATACACATGTATAGTGGTTTCAGAATTGTTAGTCTGTACCCTTAGAAATTTTACCAACTAAAGTACAGTTTTTTATGTACAGTTCCTTTTATCTTTTTTTTTTTTTGAGACAGAGTCTTACTCTGTTGCCTGGGCTAGAGTGCCATGGCGTCAGCCCAGCTCACAGCAACCTCAAACTCCCGGCTAAAGTGATCCTCCTGCCTCAGCCTCCTGAGTAGCTGGGACTACAGGCATGCGCCACCATGCCCGGCTAATTTTTTCTATATATTTTTAGTTGGTCAATTAATTTCTTTGTATTTTTAGTAGAGACAGGGTCTCACTCTTGCTCAGGCTGGTTTCGAACTCCTGACCTTGATTGATCCTCCCGCCTCGGCCTCCAGAGTGCTAGGATTACAGGCATGAGCCTCCATACCTGGCCCAGTTCTTTTGTCTTTAATCATATAGTTTTTAGTCATAACATTATTTTTCAAAGTTACACAGGCCAGTATTTTTCTTCTGCACCCCTCAGTGAGGTTATGACATACAATTGTAATCCACTTAGATTCTTTTGTCATAGTCTGCCTTCTATCTTAGGATCACCCTTCCTTCTCCCTCCTGATTGAATTTTTTAAAAAATGTATGCATTAAGGTTCACTCTTTCTGCTGTAAGGCATAATATGTAAATTGTTAGGATTAAACCTTATCTCTCTCTTTTTTTCTTTCTCAGTAGAAGAGAACATCCTTTCTTCTTTATAAAAGAAAGTTCCTTGGCTCTCTATAATGCCACACTGGTCTAGGTCTCTTACCTTCCAGCTTTTATCTCTCTTAGTCTCTTGTTGCTTGCATGGGCCCTTCCTCTCTCCAAGGGTCCCCCTCCTCTCTGCATTTCTACCAGAATCACATTATTTTACTTTTTCTAACTTTAAGACATGATTTAATGTATAGTAAGTCTAGGCTCCCCTCATGCTTGTCTTGTTTTTTTTTTTTCTAAATTCTCTGTTACTTAGCTGTACTACTCAACCCTTATCAACTTGAGTCACCGTACCAAGTATAAAACCAACAAACAGTTCTATTGGCATTGTGATTAGAATCGTATTAACTTTATTAATTATTTTGGGAAGAATTAGCATCTTTATAATATTGAAATTTCCTGTTTAGGAACTATTTACCAATATCAGTTATATATATCTGTATGTTCCTAGTTTTTCATGTCATTTGTGTTCACAAAAGTGTAAGTTTGGCCAGGTGCAGTGGCTCACGCATGTAATCCTAGCACTCTGGGAGGCCGGGGCAGGCAGATTGCTCAAGGTCAGGAGTTTGAAACCAGCCTGAGCAAGAGCAAGACCCCATCTCTGCTATAAATAGAAAGAAATTAATTGGCCAACTAATATATATATAGAAAAAATTAGCCGGGCATGGTGGTGCATGCCTGTAGTCCCAGCTACTTGGGAGGCTGAGGCAGAAGGATTGCGTGAGCCCAGAGGTTTGAGGTTGCTGTGAGCTAGGCTTACGCCACGGCACTCAACTCTAGCCTGGGCAACAAAGTGAGACTCTGTCTCCAAAAAAAAAAAAAAAAAGTGTAAGTTTAACACATGAAATATCTCTTGACTAATCTGAATAAGAATCAATTTCTGACTAATCTCTGAAACACTGTGATATGCACTTTAAAAAAATATGACTACCCTGTCTTACTGTTTTGTTGTGCATGCTATGAAGTTTTAGGCTATTTTCTTTGAATCTATGGATGTATAAGCTGTTATTTGAATATTATGGCTTGGTCTACCTGTTTCATCAGTGAGTTACAATTACAAGAATTCTTTAAAATAGATGACTATTTTAGCCAGGAACATTAGTTTCAATTCTGGTATTTCAAGAATATATTTTTAAAAGATTTTTTTTGTGGGGGGGTAAGGGTTTGTTTTGTTTATTGCTATTCTCAGAAATGCCTTTACCACACCTTAGAGCCTGTCTTGTCTGGGCTTAGAATTTTATTGTTTTGGAAGCAAAGGTAAGAAAGTCACCTCTCAATATTATCTTTTGTTGTAGAGTTTCTAAAATGTTAATGTAGATGTTAGTTACATAATTTGAAGGTTACCAGAACCTTGAGTTTTTCGTAACAAATATACTCAGAAACCTTCAATTAATGCACAAATTCCTTATAAATTACATGCCATTGTTTGGTTTCATTGAAATGTATTTTATTCTTTTAGAAATACCATCTTTATTAACTACTAGATAGTAGTCTTAAGTTAGAAAAGGAGTACTTAAAACTGCCTTCATTCTTAGTTGAATACAAGGAAGTAATGCTAGATATAAGACCATGTCCCTCATGGAAATTTAGAAAGAAAAAATAGAATTTATTAATATTTCAATAAATATTACTTAAGCAAATCTTTGGTGCTCAGATCTTACTTTTGTGTTATCTTTCAATTCCTGCCACTCTCCTTCCTCCATCCAAAAATGAAAGAAGAGACAATGAGAGTGAGTAGGCAGGATTTGTTTAGTAAGAATACCAAAGAGCTGTTCACACTGGGATCTCTGGAGAATTTTTTCTCGATTTTCTCGAGATTTCTAAACTGTGAGACCTCTTATGTATAAATTACTTATATTTTAATGTTTCATTAAATTCCTGTTAAGATCTTTGCTTTTTAAGCCTAAGAAATAGAGACAATATCTTCTAGTTGATGGGTTTTTATTCTTCCATAGATTCATCATCTGAAAACTACATTAAGGCAAAGACTTTTGAAGGCTTTTGTGCATTACATCTTGCTGCCAGTCAAGGACATTGGAAGATTGTACAGATTCTTTTAGAAGCTGGGGCAGATCCTAATGCAACTACTTTAGAAGAAACCACACCATTGTTTTTAGGTGATGTATGCTATTTGTGGTACAGATACAATTTTTTTTATTTTGTTAAACCAAGCTTAATTTTTCCTTGAGCTGTTGTACTTAAAGTATGTTCTTTTGGCAAATATAATATCCTGCTTCTTTGATTTTGAAACTGAAAAGGTATTTTTAAAGGTTTCACTCTTATTTTCTGCCCTTAAGTGGTAGCATATGAGACTTTAAGTGTTTATTTAAAGTTGCAAAATCTGTTCTGAATTGTAGTCTCACCATCATTGTTGGTCTCAGTGTAGTTCTAAAGACCAGGTATTGCTTAAATTGTAGCAGTAGTTACAAGGTTACCTGTGACTGTTTTATGTTTGCTTTTTCCTTTTCTTAGCATTAAGAAATTAAGAAGCTTTCATGGAAGAAATTGCCAGCTAATCCTTTGATGCCTATTAATTTATTGCCTATATAGATCACTATTCAAACCTCTTTAATTAAAAACTCTTTTAATTCTTTAAGGACGACGGACAAATTATAAAAGACATACTTTCAATAACTCTTTGTTTTCTTCTTTCCATCCCTTTCTCCTTTCAATCCTATTTGTCTTCAGGGACATTGTGTTCCATAAGGTTTAGTGGAACACAAGAAAATTAAGAGAGTAAAGCATTTTGAATGGAATCGGTGTATCTGGACTACAGTTTTACAGTCCTGCCACATGTAATTTGTATATTCATGTAATTACTGTGTGCTTCAGTTTCCTCACTTATAAAACGAGATGTGGGGGAGTAGTATTTGAGGCAGGCCCACGAGGAGATCAGCTGCTTCTCCCCACGGAGCCAAGTCCCTAAGATAGGGGTCACCACAGAGCATAAGGAAATTGATAGGCAGCAGAGAGAAATAAAAGAATACACAGAGACTAAGGTGTAGATTATAGTTTTATATATATATAAAGATCATATATAACACAGCGGGGAGTACCTAGGGGAATGGCGTATCTCCATAACTGCCAGCAATATGGTTAGATTCATATAGGTTTTTATAATCACAGATATCAATTGCCAGTTGTCAGGGTAACATATTTGCATATCAGGGAATGCAGTTGCTAGGGGATACAGATAGTGGGTTAGGGTCAAAAGTCCTCTCAAGGGGCTTCTAATCTATCTAGGTGAACAAACAGGTACAAAGTCTTTCAGGGACTGGCTTCTAAGTTCTAAGAGGTAGTTGTCAATTAACAGAGGTAAAACAAAAGAGGTATAGTGACTCAATATTTCTTTGATTAGTTATGGTGGACTTAAAGGTAGACAGACAGGAGAGAGCAGGAAGCCCATCTCTATAAAACAGGTTGTTTATAACCACCGGGGCGCATCTCTGGGCAGAGTGCACTCATTGTCTCCAGTTTCCATCCTGTGGGCCATATTTGCCTTGCCTTGTCTTTCAAGACAGGGAAGCCCATAGATTTTGAGATATCGGGAAGCCTTCCTGGAAAACACCCCTACCAAAGATTTGAGAGCTCTTCCATGATAGCAGCCTCTAATAAGTGAACCATTGAGTCCGCACATTCCTTCAGGGCAAAACCCTGCAAACTCCTGTTTCTGTCTTTAATATAGTAATATTGGGTATACAACAAAATAATGATCTTATGAGCCACATTTCATTAATTCCTCAATCATATTTTCCCAACAATGAGACTTATAGTACCTACATAAGTCTTTTTTATTGGGCTGAGAATAAAATGAGATGTCTGCAAAAATACTTTTTTCCTTGTGAATTTAAAAATATTTATTTTTAAAATTTATGTACAGGTTAGAGTGTGGTGGCGTCAGGCCAGCTCACAGCAACCTCAAACTCCTGGGCTCAAGTGATCCTCCTGCCTCAGCCTTCAGAGTAGCTGGGACTATGGGTGCACATCACCGTCCCCAGCTGATTATTTCTGTTTTTAGTAGAGATGGGGTTTTGCTCTTGCTCAGGCTGTTCTTGAAGTCCTGACCTCAAGTGATCCTCCCGCCTCAGCCTCCTGGAGTGCTAGGATTACAGGCATAAGCCACTGTATCTGGCCCATATTACCTATTTTTAATCAAAGCTACTGATCTATTCTCATCCCTGTAGTTTGTTTGTTGCAGAGTGTCATATATGTTTGGAATAATAGACTCTATGTAACCTTTGAGACTGGCTTCTTTTACTTAGCATAATGCTTTTGAGATTTATCTGTCTTGTTGCATGTATCAACAATACATTCCTTTTTATTGCCTACTAGTATTGCATTATACAGATGTACCACAGTTTATCCATTCATCAATTGAAGGAAATTGGAGTTGTTTTCAGTGTTTGGTGATTGTGAATAAGTCTGATATAAACATACGCATTCAGGTTTTGTGTGAATACAGGTTTTCATTCTTTTGGATTAATACTTGGGATTGTTGTGACATATGGTAAGTGTATGTTTAACTTTGGAAAATAATTTGAAAGTTTCTTTTCCTCCAGTTTGCATTTTCTTTAGTAATGTTTGAAAGTTTCATTTGCCCCACATGCTTGCCAACACTTGGTATTACCAGTTTTTTCTTTTACATTTTAGTCACTGTAATAGGTATTTAGTGGTATTTCACTTTGGTTTTGTTTCTTTTATTTGGGGGGGGTGGCCAAACCACATGGCTTTATTATACATTCTTGTACGAGGTTCTGGGGCCCCAAGAGAGGGGGGCCCCAGAAGTCACTCCTCACTGTGGTTTTAATTTGCACTTTCCAACTTACCAGTGTTGTTGAGCATCTTTTCATAATGATTATTTCCATCTTTCTAAAAGCAATAAAATTTCTCTTATATAGCAATCATATGATCAAAATCAGGACGTTAACATTAATACAGTATTATTATTTAATCTACAGACCTTCTTCAGTTTTTCTAATTGTTATCTTAATATCTTTTATAGCAATAGAAAAAAACCATTTGTTAATCCGGGATCAATCCAGGATCACTTGTTATATTTAGTCATCATGTCTCTTTAGCCTCCTTTAAGGTTCAACAGTTTTTCAGTCTTATGATTTTAATATTTTTGAAAAGGTCAGGTCATTTATTTTGTAGACTATCTTTCAATTTGGGTTTGTCCAATGTTTCTTTTTGATAATGTTCAGGGTGTGCATTTCTGGGATGGATACCACAGAAGTGATGTGGTATCTTAGCACATCTTATTAGGAAGTATGTGAACCGTTTCTGGTAATATTAACTTATCAAAGTACTTAGAATATGTGAAAAGTATCATTATGCAGATGTTTCATGGAAGCTTTGGAGTAATAGGATTTGGATTTCCTAAAGGGGTGATTGCTTTTTTATGTCAAGTTTTTTTTTGTTCCCCCAACATCTACATTTAACCCACGTTGGATATTCTGTACAAATATAGAGTAGGCATTTATTGAGGTGCAGTCTCTATTCTAGTTGCTGTCCTCAAGGGATCTCTATATAGAGGAGTAAAAAATAAAGTGAACTTAGAAGTTCAAGATTTTAAAAAAAGGGAAAAAATTAGTCACCCTTGAATGGTAGAGGTAAACTTCATGTGTAGAGTACTGTATTAATAGTTAATAATAGGGCTCTGCACAGTGACTCATGCCCGTAATGCCAAAACTTTGGTGGGAGGATTGCTTGAGACTGGGAGTTGGAGACTATCCTGGGCAAGATAGTGAGACTCCATCTACAAAACAAGCAAACAAACAAAAACTTTAGCTGGGCGTGGTGGCACATACCTGTAGTCCCAGCTACTTAGGAGGCTGAGGCAGGAGGATTGCTTGAGCCCAGGAATTCGAGGCTGCAATGAGCTATGACTGTTGCCACTGCTCTGCAGCCTGAGCAACAGAGCGAGACCCTGTCTCTAAAATAAAAAAAAAGAGATAGTAACAATAACATTTATTGAGCAGAGAGTGTATACCAAGCCCTGTGTTGGGTGTTTTACATGAATTAGATCATTTATTTATTTATTTATTTATTTATTTTTACACCTCAGAGCTAGAAGTATGAATTAGATCATTTAATCTTTACTCTGATTCTGTGAGATACATACTGTTAATTATTTCCACTTTTACAGATGAGGAAACTGTAAAAAGACAGGATTTGAGAACAAAAGAGCTGTTAATTGAATCTTGATCTTGCTATTATCTGTGTTTTAGGTAGAATAGCGTTTCGTAAACTGATTCAGTGAACTATTCAATAAATATTCATTGACAAAAGGTTTCCTAGTCACCTATATTTGGGAAACCCTCTGTGCTATATCCCGCAATACAGAAAAACATGAAAACATTACCCATGTAGTTTACTGTGCCCATTCAGTCTGAAGTATCCACTGCACTCTTTACATTATCCCATTTTAGTGTCTTCATAGCTCTATCACTGACGGAGGGTATTTTATTTATTTGCTTCCTTGCTTATTGACCATCCCTTCACTAAAAAGAATGTTCCATGAGAGCAAGGAATTTTATTCATCTTGTTCACTGAGAAATATGTACTATTAATTATTCACTGTTGTAACCCTCAAACCCACATTAGTGCCTGAATGTTCAGTAAATTATTTGTTGAATAAAAGAATGAAGGATTCTGAGAAGACCTCTCATAAAATATTTGTTTAATCCAGCACTTTGAAATTTATTTGACCATAGCATTCTTTTTAGTTTGTAGAACACTTAGGAATACCTCAAGGAACATTAATTATTCCATGGGACTATTTGAGAGATGCTATTTTGGTCACTCTACAGTTTTAAAATAATAGTATTTGAGTCCCATTTACGAAATTCTGTGTTGTGCCTACTTACATAAGTATTTGAAGAAAATCAGAGATGCAGAGTATTTTATATTTTAGGATATAGTTAACTTGTAATTTTTTATGTTAATAAAGAAAGAGTTGCTAAGATTAATTCAAACCAGTGAATAACTTTAAATCATTTATTTTTAGTAATAGGATTTATTTAGTTTCTTTGGTAGCAAATTTACCATTCTAATTATGCTTTGTATTGGCTAATAGCAAGTGGTTTAAGCTCAAGAAGGGCCACATGTAGTACTT